ACCGTTTTTGGTAGAACATTTTCGAGGGATCGACTTCATTTATCTCTTTGACGAGTTCGTAGCTTGGTGCGGAGAATGGCAGCACCCAATGATGATGCCGACTATGATGCCGGCGAAACGTTTGAAAATGTACCAAGTTCACTGTTTAAATCCGCAAATTATGATAACTACTATGCCAGAGGACTTCGGACTATGTGCGTTCTACTATGTCGCCCTGACAACAAGACCAAGTTGCGACAGCAAGGTCAACCCACTGCTATGACATAAAAGGCTTTCACACTGGAAATAAGCTACAGTTCTGACCTCGTTTGGGTCGCATTGACAGCCTAGACGGAATTCGAGACCGAGTCGTGGGTACCAAGCGACAATCCCCACCTCGTGGGACAGTGAGCGGTATGGGAAAAATGGCACAACAAGACGACCCGAGTGCAAATGAGTTACAGATCAGATATGATCTGCAAACTAAGCCAGGTCCCTTCCAATTCATACATAATGGAGCTGAAGTCGCAAACGCAAATTCACATTTCTCATTTGAATAGACAATAGGTCTATAAAGTGAGTAGTGTTCAAACTAGTAGTAGATTTTTTAATAAGAATATAACATCAGTATCTCAGACTTCAGACCTCTTATCACTTAAAATGGGTTAGGCGATCATTATCCCCTCAGAATAGATACCAACAGTTTTTAATACTACTCATTTCATTTATAGTAATAAGTTTGTTTCTTCGATTTTCGAATGGTAAATTGAGCGAGTATTTTACTACAAAGCTGTTGCCTTCATGAATAAAAGCTGGGCCTAAAATACCCTCGTAATGGATAATTGGTGGCGCTTGAAAAAGCGAACATAATAAATTCGTGAATTGGCCTCAACAGAAACCGAAGTAGGATTGTCGCCTCTTCATCGAGGCCGTAGGACAGTGCGCCGAGGATATATTAGCACAACTCCAATACGATCCAAATTTATGAATCCCTCTAGCAAAATTACTGCTACGCCCAGCTTGAGTCATGTTTCGTGCAAGCTAACTTGTAGAGATGAAAATTATAGCAAGCTCATAAGCATTTTATGTGCAGTTGCCATAAAAATAGGTGTCTGCAGTTTTAATTTAAAGGTTGCTAATATGAAAAGAAGGATTTCTCGATGTGTAAGACTTGAAAAAATGGGAGGCGACGTGGACTCCTCAAAGGTCAATCTAACTGCATATTTCGGATTTCGGGCCCTTCTGGATTCGAGCCCATGCGTAGCAAGCTTGTTCGACCTGGAATAATCGGTTCCTGAAATTTATCGGGGCAACCGTGATGACTGTACAACTTCTGGATGATGTCTTAGGCGTAATCGTGAATGGAAAATGGGGATAACTTACTTGCAAATCAAATGGAAAGTAGGTGATCTCAACCTGACAGAGGCTTTTGTAGAGCGCCTGAAGTATCCAGAGCGCACTTCCGTCACTCGAGACAACGACACGTGCCTCTCGGTGTTCTTGAAGCCGTTCGTCAGCGCTAAAACATGAGTTAGAGGGAAGTCGAGTTATTATAAGAGCATGTGCTCACGCTTGCATAGCTGTTCTCGCCCTCCTGATTTCACTGAGCCATGCGAGAACAAAATCATTAAAATTGTCTCATACAGGCTGATTCAGAGCCTGAGATGAAAGAGCTTTAGACACAAAGGTAGACTTTTCTTTACATTTATACAGTAGCCCCCCTCTATGCTTATAGTCTTGGAGGTGAGATTAGGATCGTATAGGGCGAGAAAGCCTTCAGGTAGGCTCAAGTAGAGGCCACAATTGCAATTAAGATACCTGGCGGCCGAACCCGTGCCTATGCGCCAATAAGCTCAGGCTCCAGTCGGGCTAACACAAGTTACGAGGACAAGAAAGGAAATAAGAAATAGGTATTTGAAGCGTCAAAATAAGGGTGAGCAGCTAGAGATTAAAAGGGTAATCGGGAACATAGGAGATTACCATCCTGACCAAGATGCAAGTTAGTTACCGTGTTGAGGGGTCGGGATAAGATTAAGCCTAAGCCATCCAAAGCTATCTGATACGTTCCTGACCCGTAGGTGTTTTGGATACTACTGAAATTTATAGGAGCATCACCAATTTTATTGGCAAATATGGAGTTAATGCAAGCTGAAAAATGCGAATTTTGTCATCTCCTGCTCGAGCAAGTTTGCAATTACACGCACATGGTGCGATTAAGATTCATATTGGGCTAAATCTGCAGTAGAACTCACATGAAACGGCACTATAGTCTCGAGATTTTAATGAAATTTGGGCGTAAAAAAGGCATACTACCTAGTTTATCCTAAAAATGATTAACAACCAGGCATATAGCTTAAAGAGACCTAGTTCGCCCATGGACATTTTCAATAAAGATTAACATCTCACGAGGTGAAGCCAAAAAAACACTCAATTTTACAACTCATCTATGAAAATCTGAAATGTTTACTCATCATCGAAGGTCATTAGGTGGTTAACTGAGTTATTCTAAAGCTTCCATGTTTGTATGCTTCGTAACCTTTGTGGCTTCCGAGATAAAATACGAGAAAAGACTGACACAAGCAGCTCATTCACGTTTCACTAAGGCTTACTAATCTAATCAGTCTGTATAAACTGGCAGATACAAGCGAGGTACAAGCTTTAGAATAGCCAGAGCTGCGGTTTAAAAAAATTCGTAGTTGGGCGTGATACAAACTAGCAGACTATCAACCTAGTGGATACTGGAAAGGGAAAGCAGCGTTCTGTCATGGCGTTGACATCAGAATAAAGCTCACGACAGCTAAGAAGTTAGATAATCTTCGAGAGACCCAGACCTCCCTCCTAAGACCAGTTACTAAAGGCCTTAAAATGCTTTAAGGTGACTCGAATTATTATTTTAAAGAAAAGATTGGCGGGATAGGACTCTTGAATTGGTCTCCCGGAAACGGAAGGAGGATTAACCTTCGTGAAGAGGAGAGTGTGGAATTTTGCTCGCAAGTACTCGGCTCACCACCCTGCAACACCGATAATTCCGTGGTGGGCTTTCTTCTGTCAAGTGACGAACATTGTCAAAACAAGAAATTACATTTGAGTTTATGTTTAGTATATTGGTGCATCTTCCGTAAGCTAGAGTATTTCACTCTGATTATGCCTGCCAGACGACAGACAAAAGCTCAGTACATATCAATCGTAATCAAAAGACATTGAGCCGAGGACTTTGTCGCACAATCCAAAAGCCTTCACCCTGGGAGAGCTCTTCTTCGGTTGGTACGTTCCAAAGTCAACTGTTCAACGCTGTGGTACAGGATTCTGGATGGGGTAGTTTCATCTAGGTCCAGCTGAGAACATGAACAAGCTGCGAAAGAAGACTGCAAGCAAAATATGGGTCACACCGCCTTGGCCCTCCAACCCTTGACTAACAAGGGATTAATATGAGAGGTATTTGCCCTATTTCGTTTAAGGTGATGAAAGACTGGGAGTAGGATTTTTCCACAATGTTATGAGTAGAGCTGACGTTTCCATTAAATTTCACATTGCCTTGCTTTCCCAAAAGTTGTTCTCATCCAGGCTGGAATGCAGTACTGATTTACTGGTAGTTTCGAAACTCTACTCCAATACGAAAAATAAGTAACGTAGTCGATTGTCATAGCAAATATATGTTTGCTTTATCGGCAATCCCACCAAAGAATATGATATGGCAAAAGGCCTGAACTTACTTGAAATTCACATCAGCCCTGTGACCCAAGGGCACTTGTGGCAATGTGGTCGAGTGCTTAACGTGTCAAGCTCCCATTCTGCAATGTCACGGTTCGACTCCCGCTGAGGCTGTTGATAAGACCGATGCGAGGTCGAAACTGCAGTCCACTTCAGCCTGGATGAGAACAACTTTTGGGACATCAAGGCTCTGTGAAATTCAATGGAAACGTCAGCTCTACTTATAACGTTGTGGGAAAATTCTACTACCAGTCCTTCATCACCTTAAAAGAAATAGGTTGAATACCTCTCATATTGCTGATTTAATGGTAGTCTCGAAACTCTACTCCAATACAAAAAATACAAGGGATTTCTTTAAAACTCCACATTTCTTTATATATCCTTAAATATCCATTGCTGTCGGCTTGGCAATGTTCAGCACAAATCGATTCTACCCAGTCTAATATAAAGACTATAAGACTATCGTTCTGTTTCAACCTTCAAATTTATATCGGAAATTAGAAAAATAAAGGTAAAGTAAGTTATATATTCATAGCACGTTAGCAACACAAGATTAGAAAACTGAAGATCACAGCGTAAAATAGAAGTGAAGGTTCATATTGAGTCTCAAGGGTGGAGCGGGAAGCTAAAAAAGACGACATCAAGATGAGACTGAACTTGACGGGTAGGGATAAAAATAGGAGGAACTACAAGAACCAGAAGACCTTGCACAAATAGACAGTCATCAAAGACAGCCAGACTGAGACCCAAACAAGCCTTGGATTATTTTTCGAATTGAGTATTGTTTTCGTGACTACCAGTAAATCAGTAATATGAGATGTATTCACCCAAT